AACAGTACGGAGATGTTTCCAAGAACTATAAATAGAACTACCATTCAACCCAGCAATCCTTCTACTGGGTGTCTACCCAAAGGAAAGGAAATAATTATACCAAAAATATACTTGTACTTGTATGTTTATTACAGCACTATTCACAAGAGCAAAATCATGGAATTAACCTAAGTGTCCATCAATGGTTGAATGCATAAAGAAAATGTGATTTATACGCAGCATTAAATACTCTACAGCCATAAACAATAATGAAATCCTGTCTTTTGCAGCAATATGTATGCAACCAGAGGTAAGTATCGTAAGTGAAATAACTCATAGAAAGTCAAACACTGCATACTTTCATTTATAGGTGGGAACTAAACAATGGGTACATACAGACATAAAGATAAAAATAGTAGACACTGGGAACTCCTAAAGGGGAGAGTATGGGAGGGAGACAAGGTTTGAAATACTACCTATTGGGTACTATGTTCACTATTTGAGTGATGGGTTCATCTGAAGCCAAAACTTCAGCATTACCCGTGTAACAAATCTCCACATATACCCCTTGAATCTAAAATAAAATAACTAAATAAACAAACCGTGTGTGTTCAGCTGGTTCTTGCGTTGCTATAAAGAAATACCTAAGGCTGGGTAATTTATAAATAAAATAGGTTTAATTAACTCACAATTCTGCAGGATGTACACAAAGCATGGCATTGGCATTGCTCATCTTCTGGTAAGGCCTTGGTCTGCTTACAATCATGGCAGAAGGCAAAGTGGGAGCAGGCATGTCACATGGCAAGAGCAGGGAGCAAGAGAGAGTGAGAGGGAGTACCACACATTTTTTGAACAATAGGACCTAGGGAGAACTCACTCACTATCATGAGGACAACACCAAAGGGATGGTGCTAAACTACTAATGAGAAATCCACCCCCATGATCCAATCACCTCCCACCAGGTCACACCTCCAGGATTGGGGATTACAGTTCAACATGAAATTTGGCAGGACAAATATCCACACTATATCATCACTACAACAACAACTAAAATGGTCAGAATCCTCCAATGTCTTCGATTTCATTCAGAGTAACAGCCAAGGTCCATACAACAACCAGGCAGAACGTACCTAAGCAGACTCTCCTGCTACCTATTTTTATTCATCACCTAATACTCTCCTTCCCACTACTTCTACTCCAGTCTTTCTAGGCTTTTTGTGGTCTCTCAAGCCAACAAATAGGTCCTCACCTCAGAGCCTTTGCATTGACTATTTTTTTTTTCTGCCAAGTCCCCTCTTCCTAAAACCATTTTTATGGCTCAACTCCTCTCTTTATTCTAGTTTTTGGTAAAACACCACCTTTACCAGTAATGCTAATACTCATTGCTTGGATAAAACATACATACTGTAGTTGGCTGATAATGGCCCCCAGGATATGGTCATGTCTTAATCCCTGGAACCTGTGAATATTACCTTATTTAGAAAAAAGGTCTTTGAAAGTGATTAACTCAAGGATCTTGATTTTGGATTATTCTAGATTATACCAGTGGGCCTTAAATGCCATCACAAGTGTTTTTATAATAGAGAGGCAAAGAGAGATTAGACACCCAACAGAGAACAAGGTGATATGGAGATGAAGACAAAGATTGAACTAATGCGGCCTCAAGCCAAAGAATGCTAACAGCTACCACAAGCTGGAAGAGCCAAGGAACAGTTTCTAGCCCTAGAGCTGCGGGTGTGAGTGTGGTCCTACTGAAAACTTGATTTCAGACTTCTGGCCTCCAGCAATGTATAAGAATAAACTTCTGTTGTTTTAAGATACCAAGCTTGTGTGATTTGTTAAAGCAATAATAGGAAACTACTACACATATCAAACACCTAGCCTCTTTACCTTCCTTTGTTTTATTCCGTAGAATCTCTTTTATCTCCCATAATATGCAATTGCTTTTGTTTGTGGTTTTAAATCACATGCTGCTAGAATGTAAGCACCACAATGACAAGAACATTTTGTGCAGTACCCCATTCTAGAACAATGCCTGGGACATAGTTCTCAATGATTACTTGAGAGAGGGAGCAAAGAGAGGAAGAGAGGGTGGAAGGGAGGGACAAGGGAGGAAGAATTCAGTCTTGAATTTTTCCAGGTGGAAGAGGGATAGCACTCTATGGCAAGGAAGATGTGTCCTGTTCTTAGTACTCTCATTATAAGGGCAGGATAATTAAGTATAGTTGGAGGAAATCACCAATGATAGTGAAGGGAGTAGTACACTAATGTGCAAAATGTGATTGTAGGAGCTAGACATCTCTAATTTAGAGAAGATAATTCTTGGTCTAAGTGTGCCAAATAAATTACAATGCAAACGGACCAATGATTAAAAGCTTTGTCAAAGTGTATTCTATCATAGAAATGGGGAGTAGAATGTTGTTTACCAGAGGCTGGGGTCAAAGGGATGAGGAAAGGGGACATGTTGGTCAAAGGGTACAAAGTTACAGTTAGACTGGAGGAATAAGTTTTAGTGATCCGTTGGACTGCATGATGATCATAGTAATAACATTGTATATTTCAAAATTGCTAAAAGAAGAGTTTTCAAATGTTCCTGCTGCAAAAAAATAAGTAGATGAGGTGATGGATATGCTAATTAGTTTGACGATTCCACAAGGTGTATATATATATCAAAACATTACATTCTACCCCATAAGTATATACAATTATTATTGTCAATTAAATATTTTTTTTTAAAAAAGCTTTAAAGAAATTCTAAAAGTTAACACTGAATGTATATTAGTACACCCTTTATGGAAAACAGTATGGAGATTTCTCAAATAACTTAAAATGGAACTACCATTCAATCCAGCATTCACACTACTGTGTATCTACCCAAAGGAAAAGGAATCATTCTATCAAAAAGACACCTGCACTTATATGTTTAGAGTAGCACTATTCACAATAGTAAAGATATGGAATCAATCTAAGTGTCTATCAACGGATATTCAGATAAAGAAAATGTGGTGTATATACACAATTGAATATTATTTAGCTATAAAAAGAATGAAATCATATCTTTTGTAGCAACATAGATGAAACTGGAGGCCATTATCTTAAGTTAAACAACTCAGACACAGAGTCCAGTACCACATATTCTCACTTATAAGTGGGAGCTAAATAATGCACACACATGAGCGTAGAGTGTGGAATGATAGACACTGGAGACTCCAAAGGTTAGGAATGTGGGAGTGGAGCAAAGTACGAGAAATTGCTTAAAGGGTACAAGTACATTATTCAGGTGATGGATACAACAAAAGCCCAGATTTTACCATTAAGCAATATATCCATGTAACAAAACTGCACTTATATCCCTTCAATTTGTACAAATTTTTAAAAAGAAAGAAAAGAGAGTGTTATCTATATTCAGACACTAGAATCGACTGCATTCATAACATATTTCATGAATGGAAAGATGGACAGGACTAGACTGGCTAAATATTCATCAGGAATATTATAGGAAAGATTCCCACATTATGTAGCAAGTTTGAAAGGCATCTAAAGTTGTCTGTGAGACGTTCTTAGCCGAGCGTCGTCGGGGTTTCCTGCTTCAACAGTGCTTGGACGGAACCCGGCGCTCGTCCCCCATCCTGGCCGGCCGCCCATAGCCAGCCCTCCGTCACCCCTTCACCGCGTC